TTAATGAGGAAAAAAAATTAACTTAAATGATTTTAGCAAATGGCTGCAATATAACAAAGAGTGAAAAATTTAAGGGGGTCTGAATACTTTCCGTACCCACTGTATGTTGGCATGTCTGCAATAATGGAAGAGAGTAACAGTGGTCCAAACAGGGCATATCGTTTCAGGTTGGCCCATCAAACGCCATTTTGTGTCAGTGTCCACACACCAGCCCCAAACAAAGGGACACCCTCTCCTGTCTTCTCTGATGTTCTTCTCTTGAGTCACATGATGAGAGCAGAATATCGTGAGGGGATGTCACCGTGACCAGATGGCAAATCTATATACTGTTGACACCTCTGATGAACCCGAGCGACCAATCAGATGCCAAAGCTCAGCTGACGACATCAAGAGAACCCCAATCACATTCAAGGTCTCCAGGACAAAGGATACTAGGCGTACATTTCCTCTTTAACAATAACACTATTGGTTGAGTAGAGAGTATAATATTCCTATACTTGTCTGTTCTTGTCTAGAATCTAGTACTTATTCATAAACTGTAAATTAGCGTCAAATTACATTGTTAAAACATAGCACACTCACATTTTAAATTTTGTGCATGAATTTATTGTAGTAATCAAGAATTGACTTGCTCAAAATAATTATTCCACCCACCAAGCATTTTAATTCAAAATGATAAACACAATATAGAAAATATTTAATTCAGCACAGACAAACATAGGGGGAAAGGTTTTTTGTCCTGTACATTCTGTATAGTTCTACACAGACAGTGCATTAGAATATGCCTACCTCCATACTATACAACAGGCGAAAACAGCATGTAAAAAAATGTCTGAATTCATAGCATTCAAAAAATAGTAGGTGAAAAGTACCCCAATGACCAACTACTACCACTGAGATTCTGAATTGCACATTCATGGACACTTTACTATCCCATGAAGCCACAGAATAAAGCAGACTTGATAAAGCAGACTTGACTTGACTTGACTTGAAGAGGAGTTGTGAATGGCAGTGCAGTGACACTGGTAGGTCACATGACAATAACAACATACCAAATGTAGTATGTGAATACAGTATGTACGATTTTGGACACAGCTAGAATTTTACAACTTCTACTATTACTTTAGGAGGGTGCTAGTCACATATGATAGTGAAGGCACCATGTAGCACATTTCTGAATGGTTAAACAGATTGTGTTACAACTCTCTGCATGTTACAACACTCCCCTGTCGTCCCTACTTAATAATTCACAAGAACCAATTTAAAACCTCAGTGACGCACAATCATGAATTGCTTATTATGAATGTTTAAATTGCGAAACAAAACATAAGTATCCACAAGTGGGGCTTCATACAATAGACATCTTACATTGTGCAGTAATGGAGGTCCTGCCTGTGTTTTCAGCCCACTCCAAGCACACAATTGACCCTATACTGAGAGCTGTCACATCAACACTCACAATCTGCTTGGGATGTGAAGTGCTTTCAACAGAACCAGTGATAACAGACCAGTTGCCCTGTATCTGTGTTTAATAACATCCTCTCTTTCTTTTTGGCTCTATTGTGTTATTCTATTCAGCAATTATAGGTGCAGCACACATGCATTAATTTCGACATGCATGAAGAGTGCTAATGAATGTTGTTATGCAACTTTTGAATCTAAAGTTGGAAATGAATGATAGGCCCAAAATTTGTCAATCAATAAATAATCTACTGTCTTAAACTAAAAAACAATAATAATAAAATAAAATAAGATAAAATAAAATAAAAATACTTTAAAGGAATAGTTCACCCAAAAATGAAAATTAGCTGAAAATGTACTCATTCTCAGGCCACCCAAGATGTATATAAGTTTGTTTCTCTATAATTGGAGACATTTTGCATTACATCCTCTGCAGTGAATGGGTGCTGTCCTCTCACATCAAAGTCCACTGACGTATTTGTTTACTTGTTCTTGTAAATTATGCTTGATCTGTGCATATTTCTCCACTGATTCAGACAAGATGACTTTTTCACTGGAGGAAGTGTCATTATGGATTATGGGTTCGCAGGAAGCAACAGTTTAAAGTTAAAAACATCTTAATGATGAATTCGTTTATTACAAGCACGCAGCTTTTCATTTCACAAGCTGTTAATTGATGGACTCCACCCATTCACTGCAGAAGATCGATTGGTGAGCAAGTGATGTTACTAAATTTCTCCAAATCTGTTCAGATGAAGAAACAAACAGGCCTTACAGTGAGCTATTTAGCTCATTTTAATTTCTGGGTGAATTATTCCTTTAAGAAGAACAAAGTCGCCTTGACTGGGCTCGTGTAGCCTAATCATGCTTCGGATTCAAATTCTCTTACAGCACACTATTATTCAATTTTCACACATATTAAGCAAATAAATTATGTTTGCTTTTCATTTTCATTTAGTTAAAAACCAGCTGCACTCATCACAAACAATCAAACATCAGACTACTCTACTAAAGCTTACATGGTTCAGATCTGACCAGCTGTTCCAGTGCATGACCTCTGATGTGTGACTTCACATCACACCGAAATTGAATTCTATATCAAATACAAAACAGCCATCCCAAAATGCCTTAGGATAAGAATAAATAAACTTTGTTGAAACATTTCTTATTGAACCACCTTTTAACCAACTCTAAAATTGACTAGTTTGTCAAGTGATGTTCCAGATACATTTCTGTATATTTTGAAAGGGCATACAATAAGAAAAACATTAACAATGTAGGTCAATGTGCACATAAGAATCCTATTTCATGTATTCACCTGTTATCTTGAAATGTCATTTTAGATAACTGGGACACGCTAAGAGCAGGCCTAAGACATCTAAGACGAGATGTATTCAAAATGACAGGATTAGAGAGAAATCAATTCTTTTGAAGTCAAGATGTGATTATTATGCTCTGTCTAACGCCCCCTGTGGTTGCACAGAAAGGAAGAGAAGGAGAGAGAGACAGGGAAATCATGCTTTCACTCTTCCTCAGCTAATCACTGGTTAGAGCATAGCACCTTCTGCGCCTTAATCTACCACCTCAACCACCTGACATGCTCTAGAACACACAATACTGAATATCTCAGCTTCACCTAGGTCACTTCTGCTGGGTCGCATCTGCTACCCAGACGCTCTGGGATGATACTACACAAAGGCACAGGTGCACACAGGAACACAAGTAACTCCATTAACTGTCCATTCATACACTGAAACTGTACTGTAGTCTTAACATGAAGTCTGGAGGGGGAAAAAACTTGATGCCAGAGAGAGATGAGTATAAACTTACTAGTTATAAGCTTACAGTAGGCAGCTAGATTTTAGGTAATCTGTCCAAAAAAATTTTTTTCTGAAAATTGGGATTTAATGACTCTAAAAATTGTGTAAAAAGAAAAGTGGAACCATCAAAGAACGATTGGTAACAGTTTATTTTAAGGTGTACTTGTTACACACATTACATGCACTTTACTATTACATTATAAATTATGCATAATTACATGCAAGTAACCCTAAACTAAACCCTAATCCTAACCCTAACCATACAGTAAGTACATGTAGTTAATTATTATTACTCAATACTTAAATGTGTAGTTAATTATTATTGCTAAGTACTTAAATGTATATTACACTGTAACAAGGACACCTTGAAATACTGCAACCGAAAATCTATTAAAATACTAATCTACTAATGTAATAGTATATATTTTCCAGAAGATCAGTTTTCTAGGCTATTTGTTTTCTTTTTTCTTCTATTTTAAAATAGTGTTTATATATATATATATACTGACCTTAACACACAGTCATGAGGATCTTTTTTTTTCAAGCAACAGTCACACCACACTGGCATTTCATCATTGACTGTGTCTCTCAATCCCTACTGGGCTGTCTACTTGCACAGCATTTTTGGGTATCATGGGCGCATGCGGACTTTTGGGGAGTCGCAGATGCTTTCCTCTTCACGCACTCACTAAATTCAGCTGATTATGATTTAGCTTTTAAATCTGCACACGCACCTAGGATGCCACAAAATGCTGTCTAGGTTGACAAAGCACCAAGATTTGAGACATTAACGGGCAGTAAAGTTTCTGCTGTTACCAAGCGACAGAAAGTATTTACACACTGATATTCAAATCAACCACACAATGAATTAAAGCACGTATAACAGTTTAGTATATTTAGAAATAAATGTTTAAGATGTTCATGAGTCACAGGGGCAGTAGCCTAGTTTTACATATGTCCTTTGAGGAATAATAATGTCATTGTTATAAGACTACATCTAAAATGTGGGTCACAATGGACTAAAAATATGGAAAACTAAGACATATATCGTATCTATGACAGATGAAATGAATTATATGAACAATATCACAACATTAAAAACGTTCAGTCTTACCGGACGGATTTTCTGTTAATGGTGAATTTCTGAGAAACGTCCTTCAGATGAAGCTCTCTCCCCGTGGTTTACCTCGGATAAAACATGTAACACCACAAAACTTGAGGATGGGGATGTGAGGACCGTCCTCTATGAATTACTGCCGTTATTCTCATTGACTTGGAGCCCGTGAGTCGGTTTTGACGGGTTTATAAAGTGGGCTGTAACGGCTCTTCAGTTTCCCCGCCTCCGATTGTCTAGACCGAGCAGCGACCAATCCACTCACTCCGGGGAATCTTCGTCACGCGCTGGACGCAACGCTCCCGTGTCTTGCGCTTATTACAACGGGCGCGTTCAGCTTGTGGCGCGTCGCGTTGCGTCGCGCCGCTAGCATTTAATTGGTCGAGGATGTATATGGGGCCGACGTCAGAAATCAGTCATACTCAACCCGCGACCGCTCGCTTGCTGTGCTGCTGATGGAGTGATGATGGACGCGAGAAAAGAGACACTGAAAACTGACATCAAATCTAACTGTGCATCAAATATTAACGCGGTTATAACAACATCTATCTATCTCACATCTATCTATCTGTCTGTCTGTCTGTCTATCTATCTATCTAGGCCTATCTATCTTTCTGTCTGTCTGTCTGTCTGTCTGTCTGTCTATCTGTAATTTCTATGCTGCACCTCTCTCACTTACTTTAAGATCACTCATTTTTTACTAAGATCTCTGTTAACATCTGCTTTGGCAAAAATATTTACTGTATTTTCACTTACAATGGAGGATCAACAACACATTCTAAAAATTATGCAATATTTAGCTACTTCAAATGCTTGAGATTTACATTTTGATATTCAGGGTAACTTTCTCTATCCCTGCAGGCAACTGAATATAACATCTGTAAAATCTCTGTGAATGTGTTTGCCACAAAATTCTCCACATTTCATCCTGTAATTATTTGGATGTGATAACAGTTAATTGCTTTTTCCCCCTCTCTGGCTCGAATTTTCTTCAGCATGTGCATTCTGTTGATTAGGAAAATGTGTGGTTAATTTGGATTCAGATACAGGTCATTATGGCTATTGGAGAGGTAAGCAGCATCTAACTCTGTATGTGTGCATGTTTTAGAGGGACTAGAAGGGGTGACAGCATGTGTGCAGCATATGGGTCTGTACATAAAGAAAATGATAGACACACAAGTCATATATCCAGCATGTGGCCGCATAGCAAGGATATACAATAACGACAAATCCCCAACAATTCAATGACTTCAAAGACCGGTTTAATATTGCGCATGGATGTCACACAGTGCTCTGGCTATGGGGAGCTAGATATTAAAGGCAGAGGCATATCCCCAACCACTGTGCCCTGCTGTACTGGTCCCAGGTGCGTCAGTACAGCTGCGTCCATAGCACGCATGTAGCACAGCAGTGAGGATCCCCAGACAGCCTTTGGGGGAAAGTTAAAGGGGCCACTGTGTACCTCCGCACAGCCAGAGACCGAAATACTCATATCCTTAACAACCTCACTACCAAGAATTATGGGAATTCATATTCATATTTAAAAGGATATGGTAGTGTTCTTTCCAAAAAATATTTTTGTAAATTTGTACGTATACATTTAATATTTTTGAGAATTTTTAATTTGTTATTTTGAATGTCTATTTTTTTGATGACTGTTATACATTAAATATATTTCGTGCATGTTTATTTTTTTGTAATTGTATGTATATTTATTTGATTGAAGTATACAATGAAAAAATAGTATACATGAAAAGGTGAAAATATTTTAGAAGTAGTACAGTAAAGGATCTAAATGAGAGCTGATGCGTAATCTATGACACTTGATTATGATGTGATATCGAAAACGTTTAGTCTTTGCATTTTTTTGTTTGTGTCCTATTTGGTGTTTACTGAGCAAATTTTTATGAATAAAGAATTTAGATTTTTTTTTCTCAAAGAATATTGTATGCAGGCTTTTGTGCTTTTTTACCATAATTCATATTGAGTAAAATATCTTAAGATATGGCAATGCTCTTAAGATATGGCAATAATAAAAGTATCATGCTACAATGAAAAAAAGTGGTATAGGATTTACTTTATTTTTTGCTCAGAAATTGGTAGTAAATTTCATAATAAATTACAAATAAATTGTAACACTGAATTAAACATGAAATTTTGAAGCACAAAGACTGAAAAAGTATTTTCTTGTAAAACACACTTCAGTAATCTTTGTTTTATTTACAACTTAGATTTTTCTAAATTCAATACAATTCAGTATCCCATTCAATACAAATGTTTGTGTAATAAAATCCTGCTTCTTAAAGAAGTTATTCTAAAAGACAGTGTAGATTTAATGTTTGATTTAGTTAAACTTTTTTAGTTTGATTTTGATTTATTTAGATCTTACGTTTTCATGTTTTCAGTTGTTTAAAAGTGACAGCACTACTGCTAAATCTCTCTGACTGTAGGCTATTCCTGCTTTGATTCATGTTTGCAACAGGCGCAGGCCACTGACAGGGTGAGATAATTACTTTAGACACAAGTAGGCTGCATATCCCACCCACAACATGCACTCCTCGTGTAAATTCAGACCCGTTACACATTTCCGTTAACTAGCAGCATGTAACTGCATGATGCAACTGTCGACGGGGTAAAAATGTGGACGTACAGTAACGTCATTGCTGCAGCTTGGCCCAGCACCCCTAATTAGGAGAACGGGGGAGGGAAAAAATCCAGCACAGATAATTAACTCCATTGAACATGTACTCCTGTTGTTGGACGTTAACGATCAAACTCAATCAAGGTCAGTTTTTACAGCCCACCCCAACTTCTGATGGGGGAGGGCACTTTTTACACTGTTGTGGAGAGAGAAACATTTCTCGGAAACCCTTACAGTGTATAATACAGAATTCTAATCACATCTCATTAAAATTATTGCATAATCCCTCGCTCGGTTTTTTAAACAATGAAAAGAAACCAAATGTTTTATTTAGTTATTTTAACCAGAAACCATCAGGATTATGTGGCCGGGTTACTGTGTTAGGTGTAAGTTATAATATTGCAGAGATTTTCAACTAGACCTAAATAATTTAAAACAGCTAAATTGGCCATGTGTTCATAAAGACATAAAATATCATTAGCATTTTTATTATTATTAGCATTAGTATTTTTCATTACCTGAATGCATCAGTGAATGAATCATTACCGTAAAAGGATAGTTCACCCAAAATAATAATAAATAAACTTGAACTTGAAACTTTTTTTAAATAAACTGTAGTCCAAACAAGATTGAATCCCTTTGATTTTAAATATAAAAAAAAAAAATAAGTAAAATTTTTAAAATGT